AGATGCTCCTGGTGGTCACAAAAAGCCATCCAGGGTCCCGGGGCGATTGCTCCTTTAAGGCCATGGCTCCGCGGCTGTGGAACAATCTTCCTCTCTCTCTACGTTGTGTTGAGTCCTTTTGCAAGTTAAAAAAACTCGAAAAAACTCGGCTTCTTAAACTTGCGTTTACATTATTTTGTTGCTTGTCTTATTCTCATGTTTGTTTATGTTTTATCCTTTTATCATGTGGTAATGTGAAGCACCTTGCGATTTTTATGTGTGAAAGGTGCTCTAGAAATAAAAGTTACTTACTTAGTTGTACCTCCATATGGACACCTACTCTTACAGGAGAGGGCTGCAGGAGGTGTGGTGTCTTCCCTGTTTCTTTTTCCAATTTCCACATAAAATAACCTGATTTATTGAACTGACGATGACTTAAAGTCGATCAAACCAACATGCTGGTAGGCAGAAATCGTAACAGATGTTGCTTTTGGAACATCGCTGTAGCAATTTGAACCTTTTAGAAATAACGTTTAGATTATTTGTTGAGTTTCTAAAGTTTCTATTTAATTAAACTTTTTGACATAAAATGAAAAGAAAACTAAATAATCCCAATTTCAGAGGAAACAGGAAGTAGCAAAAACACTTATGGTGTCCAGCCTCCACTCACTGTGTAATACTGACATAATCTGAGTTGTTATCCTAAACATCTGACAGTGAAAGTCTGGTGTGTTCTTGCTGTGTTTAGTTTCAAATTCCATCTTTCAGATCTTTTTAAAACACAGAAAAGGTTTAATTACCTGCAACGTTTCGTTTGCGGCTGCAAACATCATCAGGCTGACGCCGATGGTGGCGTCACTTCTTTCGTTTATCCGCGGGCAGCAGAGGACGTTGTCGCCCTTGGATTCCTGATGTAGCATTGACCAAATATGTCAGTTGCATCTTGGAAGCGTGAGGTCGAAGTAATCTTTTTAACACAAAGTTAAATAAATGAATTACTCCTAAATGCCACAAGTTATGAATGCAGAATAAGTTTTCATAAGATTTTTTTGCAGATGGATATAAGATGTACCACAGCTTTATTGTCCCATAGATATCCCAAACCTTCAGGTTACTAATGGAACCAAAAACATTACTCCTATAACATCTGGTAAATAATAAAATTAGCAGGCTGCTGAATGAGACATGATCCAGTATCAAGCTGTGGTCAGCAGTGCACATTTACTGAAAAGCACAACAGTTATCTGGAAGCCATTCGGAGCACTTTGCCGTTTTCTGAATAAATGGTGAAATCGGTCATTGTTCCAGGTTAAAACTGCTCCGTAAGGATAGGGTAAGAGTCTTATTACTGTAAGCAGATGGCCGCTCCTAATGAGCTCAGTGTGTGCATCCTTGATGTCCACGGCAAGCAACGAGCGTTCTGCAGGCCGCTGTGTCCGCAGTGAGGACGACGCAGGGTGAAACGTGCCGCTGAACAATGCAGGTAGTTCCAGTGTGTTCATGCTTTTAATGCAAAGTTCCCAAAATGTGCAAAATAAATAACTAAGACAATAAATTACGGCAGCAGTAGCTCAACAGGTTGAGCGGGTTGTCCAGTAATCGGAAGGTTGCAGGTTCAATCCCGGCTCCGGACAGAGAAGTCTGCTGTTGTGTCCTTGGGCAAGACACTTAACCCACCTTGCCTGCTGGTGGTGGTCGGAGGGACCAGTGGCGCCTGTGCTTGGTAGCCTCGCTTCTGTCAGTGCACCCCAGAGCAGCTGTGGCTACATCGTAGCTCATCACCACCAGTGTGTGAATGTGTGTGTGAATGGATGAATGATACACTGTAGTGTAAAGCACTTTGGAGTCCTTACTCTGAGAGGCGCTTACAAGTGCGGGCCATTTATCATAAATAATAATAAAAGGAGCCAGTTGAGGTGGCTCGGGCTTCTGGTCAGGATGTCTCCTGGACGCCACCCTGGTGAGGTTTTCCAGGCACGTCCAACCGGGAGGAAGCCTGAAGGTAGACCCAGGACACGTTGGAGGGACAATGTCTCTCACCTGGCCAGGGAACGTCATGGGATTCCCCGGAGGAGTTGGCCCAAGTGGCTGGGGAGAGGGAAGTCTGGGCCTCTCATCTTAGGCTGCTGCTCCCGCGACCCGACTCCGGATAAGCGGATGAAAATGGATGGATATATATATATATATATATATATATATATATATATATATATATTAGGGATGCACCGATCAGGTTTTTTGCTGCCGATCACCGATACCGATATCAAAGAATGCTGATCACCGATACCGATCACGTGGATTGGCCAGAAATTTTCTACAACATTATAATGAGTGCTACAAACTACATAATCTGGTAATAAAGGAAATGTAACCTAATCTAAAATGGTCTGTATTAGGGTTGTCACGGTGTGAAAATGTAACCTCACAGTTATTGTGACCAAAATTACCACAGTTTTTGGTATTATTGCGTTTTTTTTTAACATGCTACATTTTCACACAATTAAATAAACCCTGTATGTCAGGAAATATTGTCCTCAGTTTGTGTCTAAATTTTGCCTAAAATGTGTTATTTTGTAATTATGTTGTTTATTTGTTTACATTTTTTCCCTTTAGTCTTTAAAATACCAACATTTGCCCATAACTTCTTATTTTATGTCTGTTTGATGTCATCATTTTAAAAATATTAGATCAGATGATACTCAGTACTCAAGTAGCCTTCTAATCAGGTACTTTTTTACCCTTACTTGAGTAATAAACCCTATATCAGGAAAATATTGTCCTCGGTTTGTGTCCTTCCAGTGAGCTTTGCAGATGTGGGAAAATGTCATCAGGCAGTAATCGTTGTTAAATTCATAATTATTCTCGGAGAGAGACCAACTCTTATCTGCCCCTGGGAGCCCCGTAATGCATAGCGTCATTTCAACATGGCGGTGTCCGCGACACGGTTTATATGCAGGTAGCGGCGCTGCGGCTGCTTTATATAGCGACTCGTTGCGTTCTCCCTCAACCCAAATCCTCGGATCACGCATTTTAGCTAAAACGCTAACGTTAGCTTGCCTTGTGTTGACTGTAGAGTTGTGGGTGATGGTCACGCAGATGTGTCATGAGATTTGAAGCGTTGCTGCCTTTCACAGACACTTTTTCTGCTCGTGCTGCAAACAGGATAGCCGTCTTCTATCAGCTGTCCCTCGGCATTCTTCAAATATCAAAAAGATGCCCGTACTTCCCACTTTGTCTTCTATGAGGGATAATAAACGTCCTGAGCGCTGCCGTCTCCTCCTTTGGCCATTATTTAAGCTTTAGCATCAAGAAAGTTTTGGTTGTAAACAACAAAGTGCGCATGTGCCGCCGGCAACTTCAGCAGATGATACGGTGGCTGGTAAGGGTCACCGCGCCTACACCGCAGCCACGGTAACCCACCGAGATAATATAGTTTTTTTAAAACAAGACGATTATTATTATTGTCAACTTTTTTACCGGGGTTTACCGCTACACCAGTTACCGTGACAACCCTACCTGATCGGTCTGCTTTGATCCATTTTGAAAACTCCAATCAAAACCGATAGGGTTGCTATCGGCCGATTGGGATCAAATGCCGATCCATCGGTTCATCCCTAATATATATATATATATTATATATATATATATATATATATATATATCAAAGAAATCAAACAATTTTGATTTATTTTCCAAACTTTGCCTTCAGCTGCTGCAGAAACCTGCTGCACATGTAAATATAACCCTGTTCTCACTCCATATATTGTATTTATGATAAGCAGGAGACACGGGCATATGAAAAAGAAATGGATTGTAGATCCAATATGTGCCTGTCTGCAATGGTGTTACAATATTGTTTTTGAAGACAGGCATTCATAAGGTCCTTTCAATGAAGCCAGGTGCATTGGTTTATGATGTGTTGATGTTAGGAGAGATTGAGTTTGCGCTGCTGAATACCAGATGGATGTACCGAGGGAGAACAAATCACCTCCTCTGTTCTGTTCACGTCTCCTCCTCGGTTCCATGTCGGCTCCGCTGGCGCTCTGATCAGTCTTTCCTCTGGAGAGCTGGCAGACCTTGTAATTTCATCCTCATCATAACCAATGTAAACATGTTGCCTGTATCTTCTTTAAGACTCTTTCAAGAGTTGAATGTTTTCATTTAGGAAAACAGACGATAGACTGGCAGGGCCATTTCCAAAACCCTCCAGGTTGATGCCTTCTGATTGTTGATTGATGGAGTTGATTCAACTATTTTTTGTCACTCTTGTAAGTTCTAACCTTGAACTCATTCGCTGCCAGCGTTTCTCATCGTTTTTACTGTTTTTTAAGAGTGACAGAACGTTGCGCGCTAGGATGATGTCGACGTAAAACAACCAAAGCAAAGCGGAGACTCACCTCTTACATCAGGAAGAATCCGTGCGTTTCGAGCGTTATCCGTTCTTTCATAATCCGTTGTTGAATTGTGATCGGCAGAAGCTTTTCCGGTTCACGCCTCACTTTTTTTTTTTTACAGCAGCGGCCCAAAACGATCTCCTAACACATGGACGTTCTGCTCCCTGATCACGTGACGTGTGACATATGCGGGTGAAGATCGGCTTTAGAGCTGAGATGTTTGTTCTCACAGTGCGGGGGCTCGTCCGACGCCCACACAGTAAAAACATGCAAATGATGGCAGTGAATGAGTTAATAAAAAGTAAAGACTTGTGGCCAGTAGACTGATGTTTTCTACACAAACAGTTTTCTGGTGGCATTTAAAATTATTCAACTGTTTCAGTGAGCTAGACAGTCTGATATGACCTAAGAGATGTTGGCTCCTATTGTGTCAAGATAATTCATCATTTCTCGTAAGATGAATTTAGGAGTCGGGACATTCTGACTTGTGATCTGATGCACACCAACTCACAGAGACCAGTGACCTAGTTTTGCTCTAAAGAAGAGCTGCAGGTTCACGGGCGTGACTGTCAGAATGTCACAGCGAGGACACACACTCGAGACAATAACAGCTCTTTTTCTTTCCAGAATGTTGGACCAGGTCAGCTACGGCAGTACCCGTCCAATCCATCCATGCTGATGAAGTCCATCATCAACATGAACAGTCCAAATGGGATGATGTCACGGAATCAGCTGACCACCATCAACCAGTCCCAGCTCAATGCGCAGCTAAGTTTAAACATGGCAGGACCCAACATCACCCACACATCGCCATCACCACCCGCCAGCAAGTCCGCCACGCCCTCTCCTTCCAGCTCCATCAACGAAGACGACCAGGATGATGGAAACAGGGTGAGAGAGAGAGAGGGGTTAGGAATCTCGTTGACGTACCCGGTTTCATTAAAGGGTTTTAATCCAGGCTCTCTATGATTACAGGTCATTGGGGAAAAGCGACCAGCTCCAATAGATCCCACAAAGAAACCCAAGACTCCTAAGAAGAAAAAGAAGAAGGATCCAAATGAGCCCCAGAAGCCGGTGTCAGCTTATGCCCTGTTCTTCAGAGACACACAGGCCGCCATCAAGGGTCAGAATCCCAATGCAACTTTTGGAGAGGTGTCCAAGATTGTAGCATCGATGTGGGACGGCCTGGGAGAGGAGCAGAAGCAGGTACTTTGTTGTTTTTGGGCTAGCCACTGATGGAAAAACAAGATTTTGTGACAGATCTTCACTTGGTACAACAAAAATCTCAAGCTGCTGTTAGAGAGATGCTGGCCTTGTGAGAGCTGAAGAACTGCATCCTTCTGAGGGAATGAAATGCATATCGGGGCAGCAGTAGCTCAGGTGGTAGAGAGGGTTGCCTCATGATCGGAGGGTCATGGGTTCGATTCCAGCTCCCGCCAGGGGTATCCTGCTGTTGTGTCCTTGGGCAAGACACTTCACCCAACTTGCCTGTGTTAGTGGTGGTCAGAGGGGCCGACGGCGCCAAATGGCAGCCTCGCCTCTGTATGACCTCCCCAGGGTGGCTGTGGCTACAAGTAGCTTACCATCACTAGCAGTGTGTGAATGTGAGTGTGAAAGTGTCTTTGGGTGTCTAGAAAAGCGCTCTATAAGTTCAATGCATTATTATTATTTTTATCTTTATTTACCATTTGCTAGCTTGGTCTCGTCTCCCTTCCTGCTTCTGCCACAACAAAGGGTGGCAGCAGGGGGACCCTTGGTGTGGTTTTGCACCCACGCTGACACAGAAAGCCTCCCCCCGATAAAACGGGTAGAAAAGGTTGCAGCAGCTTTGGGATCAGAGCCTCTTCTGGAATCTCAGACGTTCAGGGCAGTGAGGTTACTGCATTTGTGTTTAGTTGAGCAGAGGAGCATTTAGACCTACCCGTTTTACACGCGTAAGATACCATCATGTGATCTTTATGCAAAGTTTTACATCAAAAAAGTTTACTACAGGAACATATTCAGTCAGGAAGCTGGTGTTTAAACCAGATACAGTCAGAGCTGTCATAGGATGTGGCTACCACTCCACTGAAACCATCGTTTGTGTCTCCTCAGGTTTATAAAAGCAAAACAGAAGCTGCCAAGAAAGAATATTTAAAAGCTCTTGCTGCGTACCGTGCTAGTCTGGTTTCTAAGGTGAGTAAATGTATCTAGAAATATGCATTAAGACAGTTATTGGTGTATATTTTTCCCCAATAAATATGGAGAACATGTGACAGAAGCTCCAGTATACGTAGTGTATCTATCTGCCGGTTTGGAATTAGCTTGGTATGAACGATTTCCTGTCCATCCAGGCTGCAGCAGAATCAGCAGAGGCCCAGACGATCCGAACAGTCCAACAGACGTTGGCTTCCACCAGCTTGTCCCCGGGCCTGGTGCTGCCCTCGCCCCTCAACCAGCACCCCAACATGTCGTCAGCTGCCCAGGCCCTGCAACAAGCTCTGCCACGGGCCATTGCCCCAAAACCTCTACAGATGAGGCTAGGGGGCAGCCAGATCGTGACGTCGGTTACAGTTTCACACCAGAACATGTCTTCTGGGATGCCACCTCAACTTCTTGGCCAGATGGGTGCCGGAGGGGCTATGGTGGCAGGTGCCCAGTCCACGGCGGTGTCACAGATGAGTCCACCCATGCAGTCGGTGCAACAGCATGCCATGCAGCAGCTCCAGCAGCAACAACAGCAGCAGCAACAGCAGATGCAGCAGCATCTCCAGCATCATCAGATGCAGCAGCAACAAATGCATCATCAACAAATCCAACAGCAGATGCAGCATCAGCATTTTCAGCACCACCTCCAGCAACAGCTGCAGCAGCACCATATGCAGCAGCAGCAGCAGCAACAACAGCAGATGCAACTGCAGCATATGCAAATGCAACATCAACTGCATCAGCAGCAGATTCAACATCTCCAGCAGCAGCAGCAGCAGCAGCAACAGCAGCAGCAGCAGCAGCAGTCCCAGTGTTCCCCACCCCAGCACTCGCCTGGTACCCCCCACTCAGTGGGAGGAGGCTCAACGTCCCTCGGCAGTCCCCAGCCAGCCCCACAGCAGCAACCACATCCCTCCCAGATCCAAGCCCACGCCCAGGTCCTGTCCCAGGTCAGCATTTACTGAGCCAAATGTCAAACCTTTCTCAAAGAACAGGAATAGAATAAAAGCATCGTTCCACGTTGCTTTTCTAAGTTGCACTTAAGAAGTGTGTAAGGTTTAGAATGTTATACAAAGAACTTGTCGATTGTCGTAGACAGATATGCACATACGTGTACAGTCGGGGACGTTAGTTCGTGAAATACGCTGACCTATGGCAGCAGCCTGTTGGGGTGAACGCCCAGTTTTTATTTTTATTTTCTGTGGGGTCTGTTCACTTTTACTGACTGGGCACTCTACGCTGAGAGACGTCTGCCTTTGGCGCTTTTATTTAACGATAAAGCTTTATTTATGAGGCCAGTGGTGTCAGTTCGGCCTCGTAGAAGGACGTTTGGAATGTTTTCCAGCAACAACATTTTTAGCACTCCTTGAATGGACGGAACAGCGACTCATCCGTCTTTGTCCCCACACTGGCCAGTACACAGCAGACTTTACTTTCCTCCATCACTGCTGCAGAAGCAACTGTTCGGAGCTTCACGCCGCGGAGGCTCGCTGATATTTGAAGAAAACCATGACGAAAATGCAGAAACGTCTCAGAAGAAAGAAGGGAGCTGGAAGTAAAAGGTCTTTGGACATGGTTTTATGGATGGATGAGTGAACTGACTGAGACAGAAGCTGCCATAAATCATTCATGTCATCACACCATCAGACTGTAATCTGCTGTACGTGTTCTGTAGGGAGGGGCGAGCGGCCGGCGAGATCTCACCTTTCCGGATGATTCGCCCAAAAGTGTGTCAGTGTGGCCCCTCCCCTTCGCCTCACTCCACCGCCACCCCTCCAAAAGACAATTCTTTAATCTGTTTGTTTTTCATGTCAGATGTATAACAATTAAATTATGCTTTTATTTTGTGTAACAAAGGGGATATTTTATGGTAAAGAAAAACATCTGGACTGAGGGAGACGTTTGGGGTTTAATGTATTTTTACTCTGCTCGTTGATAATATTGTTTAAGACAAAAAGCAAAAGAAACTGAAAAACAGCAGAGCCAGTTTGTTGCACTGCCAAAGCCAACTACAAAAGGTAATGGAGGTATTTTTGACAGCTGTACAGAAGTCCCTGGGGAGAAAAAAAAGAAGAAAATGCTGTACATTTTTCATATCACCTGTTGTAAAGTTTTAATATGCGAGGCTTTAATTAAAACATTGTTAAATGACCTGTGGATTGCCGTATCACATAGTGCATTTCTGCTCTTTTATACTTTTTTATGAGTTACAATAACAGCAGGTAATTTGTTTGTATTTTGCTTACAAACCAACTGCATAAGAGAACTGTCTGTAGGAGCATACTGGTATGAAGTTCTTGAAAAACGTTGTTTGCAGCCCGCGGTAGGACGTTTGTTGTCGGAGTGTTTTTAGCGCAGCCATGAAGACGATTCCAGAGACATTCCATCACTGATCGTAGCCATAATTTTGTATGAAGTATTATATTTCTTTGTGTCTCTGTTGAAAATTAAACTACCAGTCAAATATTTATTTGGAGAAAGTAGTTTCTTTGAAGCCAGAATATTTTCTTCACAGATATTCAGATTTCCTGTTTTTGCCCGGGGGGGGGGGGGGGGGGGGGGGTAAACGGGCCCGTAAAGCCGATCGTTCACTGAGACGTGACGGTCAGAGACGAGTTGGAGACACAAAATAGCAAAACAAATGTGCACATTTTCAGTTTTTCTATTAAATTTGACCTCTATAGCAAATCTTCACTGTCAGGCTGAAACCTAGCCTCTACTTTTCCATCATTCTCATGTTTCTTATACAAATAAGCTCATCCCATCTGTCCAGGGTTTAATAATCACCTTTTCAATGAAAAGCCTCATAAAGAGATTTGGACCACACTGGCTTAATACCCAGCAAAATGAATATTCTTTTTTTTTGTTACAATTTTAGGGCACAAGTCTTTTTCCTGACTAAGAAAATATGTTTTAGAAAATTGTATCACTCAGATCACTTCCTTTGACTCCAGTCCATCCCAACTCCAACCATCCGACCTGACTGTGTAGGCAGCAGTAGCGCAACAGGTTGAGCGGGTTGTCCAGTAATCGGAAGGTTGCAGGTTTGATTCTGGCTCCGGACAAAGAATTCTGCTGTTGTGTCCTTGGGCAAGACACTTAACCCACCTTGCCTGCTGGTGGTGGTCGGAGGGACCGGTGGCGCCTGTGCTCGGCAGCCTCGCCTCCGTCAGTGCGCCCCAAAGCAGTTGTGGCTACATCGTAGCCCATCATTATCAGTGTGTGAATGTGTGTGTGAATGGGTGAATGATTCACTGTAGTGTAAAGTGCTTTGGAGTCCTTACTCTGAGAGGCGCTATACGAGTGCGGCTCATTTATCATTTGACTCAGACTATTGGCGGTAAACTGCAGAGGATTCCTAAGGGTGTTTTCCACGTTTTCCCGGAGCATTCTCGAGGGTTCTCGATTTTCTTGCGTGAGTCACCGGGCCTCGATGTCATGTTTCTGGAATTGTGATCAGGTTAATTAAAATATTCTCCAAAAACTCGTGAAGGCCTTGTGAGCGTTTGGAACCCATCGCAGATACGTTTCTGTGAGAAACACGAGACAACCGTGGGAAGGGTTGGAAAACAAATTTATAATTAAATGCAAAAAAAAAAAATTAGAGAAAGTTGCAATGCTTTCGGATTACACTACAACATACTTGTTAGGCTACAACATCATATTGTCATAACCCAGATATTCATGATTGTATTAATGTAGCACCTTCTAGAGTCCTAAAGCCCCCCAAGGCACATTACAACACAGCAGTCAGTCATCCTTGCACAGGCAACATGCAAACTGCATGAGACTTCTTGCAAAAAAAAAGTGTCATATGCACCAATTCAGTGTGATTCCAACAGAAAGTATGTCTAAATCGTATATTTCACCTAAACATGACCAAGCAGTGCTCCTTTAGCTTTAGCTTAGCATCAAACACAGTAAGTGAATGGGACCAATTAGCACTGTTAGAAAAACTCCTTAAAACCAGTCAGTGGTGATTCTAATTCTCCTTGGTGACCCAAATAATCCCTCTCCCTGGACTGCCACCTTACCGTGGTGGAGGGGTTTGAGTGTCTCAGTGATCCTAGGAGCTAAGTTGTCGGAGGCTTTCTGCCTCTGGTAGAGTCACCCATGGCAAACAGGTCCTAGGTGAGGGATCAGACAAAGAGCAGCCCGAAAACCTCTAATGATGAATTATATAAATGGAAACCGTGTTCCCTCGCCCGGACGTGGGTCACCGGGGCCCCCTCTGGAGCCAGGACTCGAGGTGGGGCACGATGGCGAGCGCCTGGTGGCCGGGCTTTTACCCATGGAGCCCGGCTGGGCACAGCCCGAAGAGGAAACGTAGGTCCCCCTTCCCATGGACTCACCACTCGGAAGAAAGATATATGAGTGAGGCACAACAGGAAAATCATCAGGTATGAGTGTTTGTGATTAGGTTACAAAACTATTTTGACCTGGAGGTAAATGCTCTTGTGTCAACATAAGTAAGCAGTTTTTAATATTGACAATGCTATGAAATGTGCTAAAAAGTGCTACTGGGCGGCAGTAATGTTGGGGGAGGCCGGTGTGTGTGTGTGTGTGTGTGTGTGTGTGTGTGTGTGTGTGTGTGTGTGTGTGTGTGGTTGTGGTGGTGGTGGTGGTGGGGGGGCTAAGCACATTGTGCTCAGGGGCCCCTGCAATGATAATCCGGCCCTGGACAGACACCTTTAGGAGCGCCTTGTCAAAAAATCTAAAAGAGCACTGCTTCAATCTCAATATAAAGCAAGTCATGTTTAAGATAAACCGCTATAGTGCCGGGACCACCCCATACCCTCTTTATACCGCTATCGCTTCATCTTTTATAAAAAGGACACGATTGCACCACATTACCTCCACGGTATGATCACTTTTAGATTGCCTAAGGCTCCGTGATGTCGCCATGGCATTGCTGCAAACTGATGGCATTGTTTTGTAAAAAAACAACTAATGACACCTACTTTTGTAAACACATTCACACATCGCTCGCCAGTGAAGACGCTAGACAAAGAAAAATATCAGAGTTGCAGGGTTCATCTACAGTAGTTTGGGTGAATTACATTTGTAATTAAAGAGCAAGTCACCCCCAAATCAACTTATTTTTTACTGATAAACTATATAAATGCGTGTCTAATCGTGCTGCAGACACGTGTAGTCAATAGTTTTGCACTTTAGTGCATTTTAGTTAAAATTTTTTCTGCCTAAAACAGTCAGTGTTGTGTAAGGGTTAGGGTTAGGGTTAGGTAAAAACTCTGCACTGCATTTGAATTTATGTTTCATCGCTATTGGCTGAGAAGTACCCTAGAACGTTAGCTGGTACCATATGATGTCACAATGTTGTTGTGAGCCTGTGTGTGTGTTTATTTGTTAGCGGCTCCGCCCTCTCAGTCTGCTAGGCAACAGCATTTGTTGCATTTTTCAAACAGGAAGTGGGAGTGGAGTAAAACTCTGGTAGGGGGGTGACTTGCTCTTTAAAGAAAATGTACCAGCATTCAAGGTTGTCATGTCAACCTATGTCCTTGCGCTTGTCAGTGGAAGCTTACAGCTGTGCTTTGTCATAAAGTAGTCCCAAGTCAACAACGTCACCTGTAAGTCCTCCATGTTACTTGCTATTTTTGCATGGAGAATAATAATCACCACTGATTTTACAGACTTTTTACTCACAATGCTAGTTGGTCCCACCCACTTACTGTGTTTATGCTAAGCTAAAGCTAAAAAGAGTACTGCTCTTTCAGGAAAATGAGGTAATAATTGTTATTTTCCCACTTGTCAAACCCAAAATTTCACTTTGGGTGGTAAAAGCCTTTAAATGTAGCATCTTAGATGGATTATGAACAGCTGCATCCCAGTGAGACTTCCGCTTTAGCCAACCCTGGTGAATCTTTCTGAGCTGGTTGTAGACATGTTTGAGATGCCTATACAAGGCTTCCCTTCAGTGTGTTAAAAACTGCAACAACGCAGCGCTTCCTGGCCTGTGAAAGGGAAAAAGAACAATTTGAGGCATTTTTTAACTCGTGTGTGGGACACTACATATACGAGCGATGTGAGGATCCACGTTGGCTTCCCTGTGGCGTGTGCTCTTTCTGAGAGATCTGAATGAGAGTCCTTTGTGTTTGTGCATTAAAAGTGGACAGAGTCAGCATGTAACTGATACTTGTCTCAATAACAGTCCCCCCTCACACACCAGTGCATTGGATTTTGCCTCAAAATCGCTTCATTTCCAAGACATCCCCGGGGGTTTTCTGAGCTCCCTTGAATAATACGGTGAGCGGGGGAGGGAAGGCAAGCAAACAATAATTATCATATCTTCACAATAGGCTGCAAATCCATTGGCCAAGAGAAGCCTCTCTCTCTTCTCTTTGAGGCTCCAGCAGCAGGAGAAAGATTTAAACACAAGTCACAAATTAGGAGAACGGCTTTTCTCCTGAGTTTCTGTGATGGAATCAAATCTGAGGTTGTTTTCAATCAGCCAGTTTCAGGGAAGCATTGTTGAGGCCTGACTCTGCCGCCGACGTGATTGGCTCTTCAGCTCGACATGGAAATGATGCTCATTTCTCCGCGGTGATTAATTGCAGCATCTGTCCTGTCAGAAGCCCGAGCAAAGAGGTCTGCAGGAAAAACTGCAAATAAGTGCCGGCAACAGTCTTAAAGTGCTTATGATGAAATGAAAATTAAAAACAGCAAGTGCCTCGCATGACCTGAATCCTAATAAAGAGAGGAGAATGTGAGTGTGGGGTGTCCATGGATACCAAACACATGCTTTAAAAACACAGTAATGAGGCTCTGCGAAATGGCTGTTATTATTCTGAACAGATTCACAGCAGAGCCCATTAATAATGCATGGAGCTCCTTGTTATTCCATAACCCCTCAGTACTGCGGTCACTGTGTGTACAAATATCTCACAGCCAGGGTTGGAGTTATGGGACTGTGCAATAAAAAAGGTTACATATATTATCAAAACACTGTTATCCACACACATCATTTACAAGAATAATCCACCGCTCCTCCCCGTCGTGGAGCCGGGGGTAATTTAAATGGGTGAGTAAATAAATTTGCTCCCGCTTCATGTGAAGGACGTGGACATTTTTCACGGAGCGATATCATCACACGAGCACGCAGCAATCAATATCCTGCTTTTCCTGTCCTCGTTATTAACCAGCGCTGATGAAACGCACGAAGGGCACTGTGACATTAATATGTCATTTGAGTAATGCAATCATGAAGTGACCTAATTGTCCCCTTCTTCCCCGCTGAGGTCAGCCGCTCGGCACCGTGCCCAGGATGACTAAGGAGTCAGATGTGGAAGCTGAGGGATTCTGTGTTTTAATGATTTATTTGGCTCTTTTGTTGTTTTCCCCTTCGCTGCACAGATACAATGAGAGGTTGACAAAAGCCCGGCTGACACTGACCATCTGACCGGCAGACCCACGCTGCAGCCCCCTACAACCTGCTCACAGATGCAGAGTC